ACGTCAAACTGGTTTACTTATTTCATCCAAACCAACTACAAATATGCTTGTGAAACATCTGTGAAGACCTATCCGCGCTAAATATAGCTAGTGAACCTTTATTAATGAAGTCCTCCGCAGCGAAATCCCAAGTACTTGGGTACAGATGCCGCATCCCAGAAGGCTCTATCATACTTGCCGGAAACGTGATCCCAACGTCTGATTCAGTTCGGGACTTAGGAATTAGGTACTCCAACTCTTTCAACCGAACATGTGCTTTATCAGGTTGCGAAAGCAAGGCAGTTATGCGGATATATCACCAGAACTTTCTCCCTACCTGAAGCACGACTTGAGTCATTCAAGACAATAGTACGACCGACTCTCGAATGCTGTAGCATTCTTCACAGCCAATTGAGAAAGAAAGGCAGAACGGCTCTGGAAAATGTCCAAGGATCATTTACCAAGCTGGTCATGGGGCGCTGCTCAAACCTGACTTATTATGATCGCTGTCGGAAACTCCAGCTGAATCCCCTTTGGCTGAGACGCTTAAAGAACAACCTCCTCCTCTACAACATTATAAACCAACGAATTTACGCAGGCAGCACTGCACTTGAACTACGGAAGACTGCAATCTACCCCACACGTAATGGCGGCAACTTTATACGCACAAACATTTCAAGTCATAAAACTCGATCGAATCTCTTAGTGAGACACTGATCTGTGGAACAAACTACCCCTAGAGATACGCATGAGTACAAGTTATGTCACATTTCGAAATTCCCTTCAAACGTTCCTCACTATACCAAATACGTTGAAGATATTTGACTCATAGCAAACTCTAGAAACATTGACGGAAGCTGGTATAAAAAACATGAGCAGATATTCCCTTACAACTGGCTTACCCACTACATGTCATTACCCACAATACCAAGTCCTGTGTCTGTGCAGCCTAGTATCCTCTCCCTTTTACTATCTACTGCTAAGCTCCACAAACTGAAAAATGATGACACAAACATCCGTAAATTTTACATATTAGGTGCACGGGTCTAGGACCCGAGGAAAAAATCATGATCCGAAATTCTATTAATAAACTTTTCTTTACTATTATGATATACGCCGCATAAACCATGAAAGGTATTCACTATACAAATGATCGCTCCCACTTATGGGGCCGTGTACCGTCTGTCGGAAAATATACGGATTTATTTATCTATTTAAATATTACTAGACGCTAATAGAAATTGGGTGTTGCCCGCCCGAAAACACTGCACTACTATGACGCGTTTCGATGTTATTACATCTCATCGGATAGAGTTAGCAGGCATCGAACCCAATGTCTATTTGCATCAGCTACGGTCCTCGTGATCGAAAGACCAAGGTTCACTTCAATGAGAATCACGGTCAACATTGGGATTGCGCGTCGCAATCCAACCACGCAACATGTACTTCAAAATACTAGGCGTTGTTTGTCGTTTCTGCTTATGCCTCTACTGACTGCAGTTCTGATGCTACCAAGGACACCTACTACGAACTGAACAAGCTGCTTTACAGTGTTACCAGATCAGACATCGTTGCTGTTGCAGCAGTGCGCAAGTAGGTTGGTTGGGCTTTTCATAGGTGGAAGTATGAAAAATTCCGGATGGGCGGACAACGGTGAGCGTCTGCTGCAACTGTGCGTCAAGACCTACTGTAACTTGTCGGATGTCTTCCCGATAACAGGTGGCATTCGTCAGAGCTGTCCATTTTCCACATATTTTGTTCGGCTTTTTCGTGGACTCCCTCATATGTGTTTCCTTGCGGAGTCTCACGATGCGGACGTTATTGTCTTGCTGTTTAACATGTTTGAGTTGCCAAGTTAACCCCGAATAACCTGTAGAGTGGTCTCAACAGTCTGCATGCGCCCCGCACCTTCAAAATGTAAAGTGTTTTGCATGCCTTCCAGCTACTTGATGACGCCGTGATTTGATATGGAGAAATACGAGATTGTTGATCAATTCACTTACCATGACAGCTACATCAACACTGATGACCGCGTAACCACTGGGGTCAGTTCACCTGTTGCAAAAGTTAGAATTACTTTCTTGAATTAGCGATATCTCTGGCCTCAGAAAGGGGTTATCCTCGGTCCGAAAAGCCGTGTTTACAAGGCCACAGCAAGGGCCATCCACTTATTTGGGAGTAAGACTTGATCTCTTCGGTGTGAGTGTCTAAGGCACTTTTAAGTCTTTGATCGTCGCTGCCGGTGGTGTCGCATGGCGCCAGCGTGTGTGCAACGATGATGCGCGTATGCTAGTGCTAGACAATGACAATAAGCTAGTTCCCTGGGACGGAGGATACCATTGAATAAGCTGCGTTGGCTTGGGCACTTACTGCATATGCCTGGTCACTGTTTACCGAGGAGACTCTTGTTTTGTTTGCCAGATGTAGAATGGCGCTAGGCTCGAGATTGGCGAACGTCAACTTAGTAGCGGGAAATGTAGACATTGACCACAAAACTGAGTGCCGTTGGTCCGTCTTGACTTTTAGACTGGATTCCACGTGACCCATCTTGTGCTTGGCTCGAGACATTACAGGACATGTTTCGCAGTCGGCACCAGTGGCGCGTCTGTTGTCATTTTTCAGTCCGGATTCGAACGTGCAATCCAGTCCAGCGGATACGCGGAAACAGCTAAGATCTGCAGTTATACCAGTTGTAGCACGTAACAAACAGCATAATTCTCTATCTCAACAGGAAATGAATGCAATAAAAGCCTTGAAAGCTGATGGATCCATTGTCATTTTATCTGCGAACATGGGGCGCGTGGCGGTTATATTGAATAAAATCAATATCAAAAGAGCAAAGAGCTTCTGAGCGACACAATAACCTACCGCCACATCGAAAACAATCCAACAACGCAACTGTTAAACAGAATAAACACCATGCTGAAATTGCTCCAGGAACGGAACCAGATCACGAAGGAAAGTCGTGACCGAATGATGGCCTGCGATCCGAACATAGCGCGATTCTACGAGCTTCCAAAAATACATAAAAACGATGCACCACTAAGACCAATCGTATCGCTCCCAGGCACACCTGCTTACAACCTAGCAAGAGAGTTGTGGAGACGTCTCAAGCAACTAATAATTGGATCACAGCACTCTATACATAGTGCAAAACAATTTATGGATTAGCTCAAAGGTATAAGGGTAGATCATGACGAGATAATGGTATCGTTCGACGTGACCGCACTCTTTACGTCTGTCAACTTACAAACCGCAAAGCAAGCAATCATCGAACGGCTGGACTAAAGTAAGAAGACAATCGGAAAGCTGAGAACTGAAAATCTGTGCAAGCTACTTGATCTATGCCTCGCGACCTACTTCGCTTTTGATGGACAGATCTATGCGCAGGTGAAAGGAGCCCTGATAGGATCCCTGTGTCGGGACTCGTTGCAGAAATAGTAATGCAGAAACTTGAAGATGTATTGCCCATAATCAACCCAAAATTGTGGATCTGATACGTCGATACATTCATGATACTGAAATGTAGTCAAGTAGAGGCTGCATACGAGTTGCTCAATAACGCCATGGAGGCCATTCATTTTACGATGGAATCGAAGATAGAAGACCAGCTCCCATTTTTGGATGTGTTAGTCACCAGGACGATTGACGGAGAGTTGCAAACTTCGGTTCATAGGAAGGGAACACACACCGGTCAGATTCTAAACTACTACACCAGTCACCCGAAATGTCACAAAATGAGCCGCGTGCAGACTTTCTTTCGTAGAATTGGAACACATTACAGCACTCTTGAGGTGTAACGGAAAGAAGAGATATACATGTTCAGATCATTTCACCTAAATGAATATCCACATAGCTTTGTCTGGCTGTCTACACAACAAAGCCACAACCTCAGACGACAACAAAGAGAATTGTTCTACCTTATGTAAAGAACATCTTCGAGATGACAGCAAGATTAGTCAAACAGCACGGTCTTACAGTAGCTCACAAACCAACCGCCACATTGAAGAGAATCTGTCGAAACCCAAAGCCTAAGCCTGAAACACACGAAAGACGAAATCTTTTTTTGCAAGACACAGTGTCAAGATCTCGATAAGAATTATGTGGGTCAGACAAGAAGACAACTGTCTACAAGAATACAAGGGCATAACAGAGAGCTTGTAAGAACCACTACGCTCTCTCACTGGTTTAACTACATACAGACGATGAAGGTCATCGCTTCTTTTGGAACGACGCAGAAGTCCTATCACAAGGAGAGACGCGAAAAGGAAGAGAGTTCCTGGAGGCATGGTACTCCACGAAGCATTTGATAAACATGCATGTCGAGATTAACCCAGTTTACGAAACGCTAAGACGGAGAGAATTAAAACAACTTGAAAACCGTCGTGAGCAACTAAACGAGCCGTCAACAATACAGCAGCAACAGCCGGAGCAAAACCGTCCCATAGATCGCCCGTGTCTATCAGAGAGGTTGGTCACGAGGTACAGATCGAGAAGGTCGATTCAAAAATCACTTACTTAACAATCACAAATCGACGACCAAGTCAGCGAATTACATTTGACCCAGCAACGCACTGAGGAAGTCACCTCGTATGGTGATCAAACGTTTGCATACCAATTGCGAAGCTCGGCGAACAGTTGAGCTCAGGAACGATCAACCCGGGCTACCAGTGCATCAAGTCATGTTTAAAGTGTGTTTAGTGCTGAGTTATCTGTGAGGTAATGACTGGTTATGACACGGGGCAATGAAACTCGCATGCATACTGTCTCGCCGATGCCGCACTATCGCAGTGTTGCCAGTTGTTTGTGACGGTACGATGTTGACAAGGTGTAGGCGCCTTGGCCCTAAATGTTTGCTTGTCGTGTAGCAGACTCCCAAATGTTGTCACCTTTGCTGGCTTCCTACCGCTTTGTGGTTCCTGGCTGTGATTGCCATTTACCCAACACCTTTCCCTGTCCCAACCAATCTTTATTATCTATATTTTGTTCCTTGCCAAGTTTATTAGCTCTTTAAACTCGTAGGCGACCTGGATTCATTCGTGCATGCATTGACCCACATTTCCAAGTTCTGAACAGACCTCATTGTCGCTTCAGGTGGCTTCGCCTGATATCATCAGCTTTGTGAGGTTCCGCTTTATCTCTCTCGCCATGGCATTCGGATACTGGCGAGCAAGACATTCCTCACACCGCATGTGACCTGACGATGTTACAAGATCATGTGAGTAAAGTTTTCACTACTTCCCTGCGGTTATTTGCGAATTCTACTCCATGTGCGTTTGAAACCCTTGCAATACCATCATGGTGTGTATATGTAAGGCACAGGCCAAACGCCCACGTTTCACGACATCTTCCCTTTCCGATTGGTCATTTGTAAACCTGTTTAAACCACAGTACATTGCAACTAGCTTATTCTACGTGGACTTGAAGCCAAACGTGTTGGCTATCTTTTACTGTTGATGTTGTTGTTACGATGTCCGTGCCGGAAGCTTAGATTATTGAGGTATTATATATTTGTTGTTGCCAATAGTACTTTATTCCAGTTCCTGTTGTGTACATTATTGATCCCGGCGGAAACGCGTTAACTCAAGACTTTCATGCGATTTGTTGCTTACATGCGGCATTTAGTTTTCATGCTAGATATCTTCTTTTCCGCTCATTACTATCCATTACTTAAATCACTGTGGTTGTACGGTAGCGCGTTGTCGTGTTTCTTGACATAAAAGGTGCCTTCGACTCAGTCGATCGATGTGCCCTTTGGTACTGTCTGTTGAGGAAAGGCGTGCCTGATAAATATGTAAATATTATCAAAGCGCTGTACGCGCATAGTTCGGGCAGGGTAAGGGTTTATGGCAAACTGTCGCCACCCTTCAGTATCACCAGCGGTGTGAGACAAGGATGCCCGCTGTCACCTTTCCTTTTCAACTTCGCTATTGATGAAGTCATGGAAACAGCGTTCGCTGGACACGACGTAAAAGGTGTGGAGCTATTTCCTGGTGAGCGGTTTCTTGACTTGGAGTATGCAGACGATATTGCCCTAATCTGTGACAGCTCCCAAACATGCCAGATAGCACTGGACCGATTAGCACTGGCTGTCAATCGTTTTGGGCTATGCTTTGCTCCATCGAAATGCAAAGTACTCCTCCGAGATTGGCGGGGACCCAACCCTGCGCTAACGCTTGGTGGTGATCTGCTAGAAGTCGTTCAGGAATTCAAGTACCTGGGCAGCTGTACTAGCACCTGTGAGATTGAAGATGAGGTTACGAACCGTATAGCAAAAGCTCGAGGTGCTTTTGCCAATCTCCGCCACCTGTGGCGCAGACGCGACATTACTCTCGCCCTGAAGGGCAGAGTTTACAACGCAGCCGTCCGTTCAACTCTCTTATATGGCTATGAAACCTGGCCCATCAGGTCGACAGACATAAAGAGGCTAGTCATATTCGATCATCGCTACGTTTGCAGCTTAGCTCATGTCTGGTGGGAGCACCGCGTGAGAAATGAGCGTGTTCGACGTCGCGTATTTGGTGCAGGAAGAGCGAGTGAACCGCTCAGCACCATTATATCACGCACCAGGCTCCGATGGCTGGGCCACGTGTTGCGCATGCCAGCACACCGACTCCCGCGAGGTGCATTGTTTGCGCGTTGTGGGTGCGGTTGGAAGAGGAGGAGGGGAGGCCAAGTGATGACTTGGTGGAGAGAAATGAAAACCCTCACTTCGAAGTTGGCGTCGGTTGGTGCATCCCGATTGCCTGGCTGGGGTCCTAAGGATGGTGAACACGCTTGGTTGGACACACACGCTGATATGGCTTGGAGCCGACCCCAATGGCGTTTGTGTTGTGAGTTCCTTTGTCCATCCCCTCCTGCTTAGCATCCCCCTCCAATCGTGATCTCACCTGATAGGTATAATATGACTCTCTTTTACGGCAGCCAGATGTTAGCTCTCCGGAATGATGTCCATCCGTTACTGGGGACTCAGCGGGCGTGCCACCGTTTGTTTTCCTTTTCTTATCTTTTGTATTGCGGCACAATAGCTGAGGTGTTTTCCACCTCCAGCTAACGTGCAATGATGATGATGATGATGATGATGTACGGTAACGAAACATCAGTTCAACTGGCTGATATACTGCTGTTGATGATGATGCCTTTCCAAAGCCCCACTCATCTAATAGTGGTGCGTTATCAGTACGCTCATTATCGGTTTGTTTATCTGGAGAATGTCAACTTCATGCTGTAATCCTTAAGATACTGATCGTTTTTGACCACCAATGTCCGTCTATATCCGATCTGAAAACTAATTGAGTGATAATGCACGTCGGTTGTTGTTTGGCGCTGGATCACTTGGCTCAAAACGGAGCCATCCATTGGTCTACTAGGCCACATTATACGAGTACTTGCTGTCTCGATATCTTTTCACCTTTGGTTGCTGTTGCTGTACTTGGTTAGATGAAGCCACCTCACGTAACAGGCTGCTGTGCTGGCATAACGGTATACAATACTTTAGCGAGACCGATATCTACCGTCTTTCTGTTTGGAGACCCAGCGATGGCCAAACTCAGTGTCAGTTTCCCTAACCGAAGGAGTACTTCGAGGATTCAGCGGCGCACTTGTACACACTATATATATAATGAGAAAATGAAAAACGATTTTTTGGTTTTACACAAGCCATTTTGAATTTTTGTTTTGTGAGTTTTTGTGTGTATTATAGGGGGGATATAATGGCAGAACAACACTGACGCCACTGATGTCTGTTGCGGGCCATGACGTCCAATGTTTCCAACCACTGAGATTCAGCATCTCGTGGTCCCCAACTTGGAAGACGGACTGGTCCGACTGCCGCCAAACTTGAAGTTGCCTTCTTCATGCTCCTTCTCCACGTCATTGGCTGTCCACCGCGGCACTTTTTCTAATCGCTCTCTGGGAGCGCAACTAGCGCTCGACGTGGAAGGCGATGGGCTGGCATGCGCATGCGATGTCGGAGAATAACGTTCTGAAGACTGGCACTACTCGCTCCAAGCACTCGGTCTTGCACCTCTGCGTTGCTTACGTGGTGTTGCCACCACACCCCGGCAATCCGTCATAGACAGCGAGTGTCGAAGACTGACAGCCGCTTCATGTTTTCCGAGCGAATAGGCCAAATTTCACAGCCGTACAAGAGCACTGCACAGACGGAAGCATTGTACACCCTGCCCTTGAGGCTGACATCACGACGACGCCATAGATGTCTCAGTTTGATGAATGCAAGGGGGCCTTTGCAATCCGTTGTGAGGTTTCATTTCCAACACCGCCACCAGCCGTGATGCAACTCCCTAAGTAAGTAAAGCAAAGGACTTGCTCCAGAACATGTCCAGCAATTGTGAGCGCAGGTTCAGACTCCTGCCAGTTCTGGAGCAGCGTTTTACATTTTCCCAGAGTGAAGCATAAGCCGTACTTAGACGCCTCCATCGCTAAGCGGTCCAAAGCGCTCTGGGCGGTTTGTGGCATGTGCACACTAGTCTACCCCTTATTTGAATATCCTATCTTTTTCACTTGAATGAATTTTCTGGCCTATTCGGACTTGTTTGTTTTACGCGGTTTGTTAGTTTTTTCCTCGGCTCAGCTATTCGTGGTCATTTTGATCCGCCATGCTTCGGCGTTTCGATCATAGTTGATAAAGTGCACTAATCCGATCTTTTTCCATTGCTCTTCGCCTGATAAAGTAAGTCCCTACCAACCACATATTCCTAGATACGTGAGCCGAATTGCGTGAATTGTGTTTATAATTGTTGACTATCTCATTCATTAGCTCATGCTTTGATCTGCGAACTTCAACCTTGAGTTGCCTCATAGCACCTGCTGGTTGCTTTTATTCGTCGCTTATATACTCAGCCTTACTGTACATTCATACTCTTTTCCAATCACTTCCATTTTAACCCGGGCGTGATTCTAGGATATATATTTACATACTTTTGCGTCTATTCCGTTCTAAATTAGAAAATTCTCACTTATTGCAGAAATACTGTTTGGATGAATCAAATGGTACCTCGCCTACTTTTGCAGACGCACGCGATGAAGGTAACTGTCATTCAGACCTATGGATATGTTTTAGGTGAACTGGTTGGCCCTTGTTTTTTGTGCGGGAAGAAGTTCAGCAGCCGGAGCTTATTACACAAACACTTCGAGCTCATGCACGAAGGTATCTACTTTCCTTACTAATATTCGCCATTGATCAAGGTACTACGATTGATCTGGACCGATGCGACTTGAGCGGATTCACAGGCGTGAGTGGGGACCAACACACCAACCCAGACTCAGGTTAGCTTCTCGATGTTTGAAGAATTGTGTGTGTTATACTTGAGGGAACGCCTCTCTTATGATTGCGTAACGCCTGAGAAGATTGTCACTGGCACGGTTGGAGCTCGCCTACGGTAACGGCCTGGAACGCTGACCAATAGAACGGATTTGCGCTGACCTGATGGCGTTAGCTTAGCCCGGGGGACGCGCTGGTGAGACGGAAATTGAGCGAGCGTGAGAACGATCCTAGCCGCACGTATTCGGGTAGACGCTGAGACCTCGGAACGGACGCACACGAGAGGGGGTTAGGGTAGACGCGCACTAGTGACTTAGACGCGAACGCTGCCCGGCTAACGACGCACACAAAATCACGTGACCCGACCGACTCCCAACTGAGGCGAAGAGGAAGAAAGGCAAGTGGTCCTCTGAAGGCTCTTTTACGACCAACAAAGGGCGAATCACAGCCAATGCTATGGGTCATTAAGTTAGGGAAAATTGCTACCACGACGGGGTCGTGGTTCGTAAAAGAACATTGTCAGCAGGTGCGCAGTAGGGCCGCGCCACGGAATGGCTGAACTCTGCTACGTTGTGAGGAGGAATTGGACCCCGCTTTCCACAGCCATTATGCCGGGGTTTCTGGCGCGTTTTTGCGAGGATATTTGGCGGGCCCGCAACATCTCCCCTTGATGAGAAAGCGTACCGCTTGTGATGAGGATTGACCTGGGGGGATTTCGGTGACCTCCGGATTCTTTTTGTACGTCGGCAAGGCGGGTTCTCCAGACGCGGCGGCGATTGAACGGCTTCGATCGTGGTCTCTCGTTGTGTAGCCAATCCAAAGGTGTCCAACAGGATGTGCAGCGGCAGGCGCACAGGAAGGCTGGCTGGCGTGAAGGTTCCTCCGTGGCGCGGTCGAAGTTGATTGCGATGGCGGACCAAGGTGTCATCACCCACGGAGACATCATGCAGCATGTCACCTCGCGTGGCCGTCACAGTTGCTTTGATCCAGCGTGGATGACCTGCTCGATAATCGCGAGCGTAGACCGGAGCGCCAACGACGAATTCTTTGTGCTTAGTGCAGGCACCAGAGTGACTAGGTGGCTTCTCAGTCGGAATGAGCGCTTCGTTGGTGGTGCGTAGCTTGCGGCCCATCAATGCTTCAGTTGGTGACTGGCATCTTGGTGAAGCTGGATTCGGTGTGCACCGGTACGAGAGCAGGAAGGCTTGAAGACACTCATCCACGGTCTCCTCCCCACGAGATTTCAAAAGCGCCCTCTTGTAGGTGTCGACAAATCGCTCCGCTTGACCATTGGACTGGGGATGGTAAGGCGGTGAGCGGAGGTGTTCAATGCAGTGTCGGCGACAAAAGTCTTCGAAGATGGTAGAGGTAAACTGGATACCATTGTCGGACGCCAAAACCTCGGGAAGGCCATGTTGACTGAAGATTCGTTGGAGACAACCCAGAGTGGCGGATGCGGTTGGTGGGTTGACGGCGACCACTTCTGGCCATTTGGAATAGGCGTCGACCACGACCAGATAAGAAATACCATCGATGGGACCAGCGTAGTCAATGTGCACTCGGGACCACGGTTTTGCTGGTGGATGCCAAGGAACCGGTGATTGGTGTGGTGGCATCTCTGAGGCTTGTTGACATTTCGAGCAGCGGCGGACCAAATCTTGAATGTCGTTGTCAATGCCAGGCCAGTACACATAACTGCGGGCAATTGCCTTCATTCTGTTTATACCGGGGTGAGCAGAATGGAGCTGGCGGAGTACAGCTTGCCGGAGGCATGAAGGAACGACAACTCGATCTGCAGTCATGAGGCAGGAATCGACCACGGAAAGGGAGTCGCGGCGTTGATGTAGTTGTTTGAGTTCACCAGACAAGGTAGTGTTTGGCCAGCACGTCTGAACGTAAGTGACGGCTTTCTGCAAGACAGGGTCTTGAGCAGTTGCACGACGTATGTCGGCGGCAGTGATGGGGAGACTTCGGATAGCGTTCGAGAGTTGATAACGAACGTCCTCCTCGACGGTAACAGCGGCAATCACTGTGTCTTCTACTGCGGCATGTTTTGAAATGAGGCGGGAGAGACCGTCGGCTTGACCAAAATCCTGAGTGCGACAGCAGATTTCGAAGTCGTAACCAAGAAGAATGACGGCCCAACGCTGAAGTCGGCTAGCCGAGTATGCGGGAATGCCCTTCTTTGAACCGAATATTGAAAGTAGGGGCTTGTGATCGGTCAATAGCGTGAACTGCCGGCCATACAGCATCTTGTGGAACTTGGTGACGGCAAAGACGATGGCAAGGGCTTCCTTCTCGATTTGACCACAGTTCTTCTCCGCAGGCGTCAGGGTGCGGGAGACGTGCATAACAGCTTTCTCGGAACCATTTGGGAATAGATGGGAGAGAACTGCTCCGATCCCGTAGGCAGAAGCATCAGCAGCGACCAAAATCGGCAAGGTTGGGTCGTAAGGCAAGTGGTCCTCTGAAGGCTCTTTTACGACCAACAAAGGGCAAATCACAGCCAATGCTATGGGTCATTAAGTTAGGGAAATTAGCTACCACGACGGGGTCGTAGTTTGTAGAAGAACATTGTCAACAGGTGCGCAGTTTTGCCACGTCTCGGAGTGACTGAACAATGCTACGTTGTGAGGAGGAATTGGACCCCGCTTTCCACAGCCATTATGCCGGGGGTTTCTGACGCGTTTTTGCGGGGATATTTGACGGGCCCGCAACAGTGTGCCTGAATTGGAAATCATATCGCAAATATTCTTGACGTTCTACACTCTAACTTGTATCTCATACCTTGATACCTTGCATTGCATTCAGTTAGTATTCACGAATTCATCCGGGTCCCACTTTTCTTCATTCACAAGGCTGTTTATTGTTCTTATTACAGCTCATCATTAGCACCACGACATTTTTGAAGACTACTTAGTTTTGCTAACGCTAACTGATAGTGCCGAGACTGGATCTTGATTGGTGGTCAAAAGGAGCACGGGCCTGCATTGTAACCCGGAGGTTGCCGGTTCGAATCTGCATAGGTGCGAGCGATCTCGCGGTATGCACATCCGGCATACGACTGTTGGTACTCGCGTAACACCGGTACGGTGTACCGTTTTATCGTTGAAGCTATTTTTAGACTGGCCCTTAACGATGCGACGAGCTGGACTGGGTGGCGCTTTTTACACCTTCGAAGTCATTCACACCAGATTGATCAGCGGTAAAGGCCAGACAACTTTAGTCTCGTGGTCCTCCATGTTGGTAAGTTGGCATAATAGTCGCTTATTATTCCTTTAAACGGATTCACTGTGGCCCATTAACAAGCTTCCCCTACCATGCTGCCAGGTTTTTAAGCCAAAAGCTTTGGCTGAGGACCATCGTTCTGTTTAGGCATGAACAACTTGATAGAATGCTGATGTCGCAATACATTGATAGACTCATCTTCTGATTTCCTGTTGTTCTGGCCATTGCAAGATTAGTCAACTGTGTTCTCTCCCTACTCTTCTCTGCACCCCGATTCTTGACTCCTCATTTTGCTTGAATGGGTGTTTGTTTTCTAGTTTCGATTCACACGCAATCGCTCCGGTCCAATCGATACGTCTACGTTCAATCAAGCGGAAAATCTCACTTCATCCACCCCTATATTGAATCCTCGATATGACATGCCTCAGGCTAACATGCATCAACGTGCGCACTTTTTGCAGATCGATCAACAAGTGACACTTGCCCGAACATTAGAGACCCCATCGATTGTTATCTGCTACCTATTGGAAACCCACCTACAAGATTGGAGCTATGTACTCACTTTATGCCTCTCCATTGGACACTAGAAGTAATTTCTTACTGTGTCTTTGAGGGGATAATGCAGCTTTGAGTCCCGGTCAAGCCGGTGTGGGCGTTGCTCCAATCTTCCCGGTGTAGTTGCTTTGGTCGACTGGATCCCATTCGGTAGCCGGATATACTCCGTCATATAGGCTGGATCTTTCGAAACGTCGGAGTTGCGTTGGGCCAATAGGTGCCTGTTTATCGTTGTTACTTTCGCTGTCACAAACTATAACGCTGAATCCGTAAAAATGACTACTATCATCTGAACTAGCTTTTTAATAACGGATGCTGCAGTACTGGTGACCTGATCGCTCAAGTTGCAACCTTCTCTACTGGATGGTCAATACAGTGTACGCCTCCGTTATTATGATAACATTATTGCTAAACTTGTGTGAAGATGCTCATCTATTACTCAGAGGAATTAACTTTGACACAACACCCGCCGAGGGTGACAATGCGCCCACTAGCGTTGGACCGGCCATGAACTTACATTGATCACATCATGATCATTTACCGCTGGAGAAGCTGCGTCCAAAGTTGCCATTCGGATTTAATTACAGACGTTGTATGTGGCTTGAAAATACAGGCTTTTATTTGTACATGAAGCTGATGACTGATTTCTTGGTCTTAATCTAGTGACTGATGAGCGAGGAGTGTGTAAATGACGCGTGGTTGCCGATTTTCTGCGGTCGCTCGCACCACCTCTTTATGTCTTGAAGGATCTCATTTGTTTGCATAATCTCTTAGAGACGTTTTGCCGGAAAATGGCCAGATTCTAACGACAAGATGAACATGTTCAGCAAAAGCTGCTATATGTCAGGTCCCCCGAATTTAGTGGTGGATGGGGTATGCCATCAAAATCCAGTTTGAGCGATAGTTTGATAGGCTTCAAAGCCTGTTTTATGTTCGAAAGGGAAATCGCTGCATTGTATATGGTGCTCGTTGTTGTAAGTTGCGGGCAGAAAGGTATGGGATCAGTTTCTAGATTCATGGAGGAAACGAAAAACGAACTGGATACTTAACAAATAGTGGCTGTGTCGTTAAGGTGACGACTCTCCTCATCGATCACTCCTGTGATCGATGACACCCTATCGTTAGTTCTACGATGGAGTAATTTTCTAAAGTTCTTTTCCTTTGCATAAAGCTTTCTCCTAATCCTTTTTAATCCGCATCACATGTGAACGCTTGACAGAGG